ATAAACATAAATCACATCATTACTTCCCTTCTTAAAACGCTCCATGGTTGGCCAGGCGCGGTGGCTCATGCCTATAATTCCAGCACTTTGGGAGGCCGAGGCAGGCGGACCATGAGGTCAGGAGTTCCAGACCAGCCTGACCAACGTGGTGAAACCCTGTCTCTACCAAAAATACAAACATTAGCCGGGCATGGTGGCACGTGCCTGTAATCCCAGCTACTCAGGAGGCTGAGGCAGGAGAATTGCTTGAACGTGGGAGGTGGAGGTTGCAGTGAGCTGAGATTGCACCATTGCACTCCAGCCTGGGCAACAGAACAAGACTCCATCTCAAAAAAAAAAAAGAAAAACAAATAAACAAACAAAAAAACACAGCTCGTCATGGTTTTCTTCCTATCACATTCATAATAAAATATAAATACCTTAGAGAGGCTTACAGGACTCAGCATCTGGTCCCTACCCCTCTAACTTTACCTTGTATCATTCTTTCCCTCAATCATTATGCTCTAACCATGTTGGTTTCTTTATACATTTTAATTTCATCATGCTTGTTCTTGCCTTAGGACCTTTGCACTACCTATTCCCTCTACCTGGAATATTCTCCCTCCAAAATCCTCACATAGCTAGTTCTTTCTTGCTTTTCAGGTATGAGCTTAAATATCACCTCTTCGGAGAGGCCTTCCCTTATCCCTAAATCTAAAGCACTGAATTAGTTACTCTCTACTCCATAACCCTGTTTTAATTTCCTGCATAACACTTGCCAGTATGATATTTTAATTTATTGTTTATTTATGTTTATCTCATCCCATTACAAGGTAAGTTCCAGAGGAGCAGAGGCCTTGTTTGTCTTTAACCACTGTACCCCTGTATGTAGACTGATGCCTACGGTAAGAGCTCAGTAAGTATCTGTTGGATGAAATGAATAAATATAACATATAGACTCCTTTAGGGAGTTGCTTTTCCATACTGCTCCAGCCATGCCTCTGCTCCCACCCCTCATACATCATAAGCCATGTTATAGTTGTAAATCACTGAGAAAGATGAAGGGAAAAGCAAGGTTAATATAACGAAAAAGTACAATCATAGGAAAACAAAAAACAAATACAGATAGTATGTTAGGGAATTTTACTCCCACATCGTATTTCTCTCTACCTTCATTGTCAGCTACCTCCTTTGTCCAAGCCAAGGTCATCTCTTGCTCATATTAGGGCATCTCCTCCTCTCTTGTCCCACTGCAATCCATTTTCTTTTCTTTCTTTTTTTTTTTTTTTTTTTTTTTGAGATGGAGTCTTGCTTTTGTCACCTAGGCTGGAGTGCAATAGCACGATCACAGCTCACTGCAACCTCTGCCTCCCGGGTTCAAGCAAGTCTCCTGCATCAGCCTCCCGAGTAGCTGGGATTACAGCTGCCCGCCGCCACATCTGGGTAATTTTTGTAATTTTAGTACAGACGGGGTTTTGCCATGTTGGCCAGGCTGGTCTTGAACTCCTGACCTCGTGATCCCCCAACCTCGGCTTCCCAAAGTGCTGGGATTACAGGTGTGAGCCACTGCGCCTGGCCTGCAATCCATTTTCAACATCTCAGAAAGAGATGTCCTTTAAACACAATTTGAATCTTGTCATTTCCCTGCTCAGAATCCTTCAATAATGTTCCATTGTAGGATAAAATAAAACAAGCATTAACTAAAAGGCCCTGTATGAAAGGTCTGGTGCCTGTCTACCTCTCAAATTTGAACTGATGGACTCAATACTGTCAGTCACACTGGCTTTCTATTTCTCTAATTTCCTGAAGTCTTAGTTCAAAGCCTTACTTAGAATGTGCTATTTTCTCTGGAAATGTCTTTTCTGCTACTGTTGGCTTTGTCTAACTCCTCCTACTCAGACATCAGGTCTGAACTAAAATATTGCTTTCTCAAAGAGTTTTTTCCCGATTTTTCAATCTAAATTAGCTCCCCTTGTGATATTCTTTCATAATACCGCATATTTTCCCACAAATATATATGAGAAGTTATTCATTGTAGTATCTAACTCCCCCACTAAACTGGAAGTTTCATGGGAGCAGGCACATAGGCACATTACCTGTTTAGCTCTTTGCTTTATCCCCTGCCCCACAGTAAGCATCTAATAAATATTTTTGGAATGAATGAGTAAGCAGGTAGTGAAGGGGAATAACCTGTGGTATAGAAGCACAATTAAAGTGATATAATATCTTACCTTGCACAATATTAGTCATTCATTATGGAAGATCATCTGTCTTCCATCTCCCCCCATTTGATATTCTCCAATAGTTTAAGATCTAACTGAAGACTGGAAGCCAAGTGACTGATCAAGACTTAAGTGGAAAGATCCTAAGAGATCTTTCCCTCATATAAGACAAGCTATGCAATATACAGACTAAAAAAAAAAAAAAAAAAAAAAAATCTTGAAGGAGAAAAGGATATCAAACCTGAATGAACGCTGGGCCCACTTCTCCTGATCCACACGGGGAGCCAGTCCAGACTTTCCAGCCCACAGGACATTGTCACAGGCAAAGTACAAGGCTCGATTGAGGTGACTAACAGTGATGCAGAATCTCAGGACAACATCTGATAGGTGAACAGCTCTTTTGGCTGACTCAAGGGCATCTGCTGAGTTACCCAGGCGTAGAACTTGTGGAGATTAGAAAGGGAAAGCAAGGATTTGTAAGCAGAGAGGCAGATAGCAAGAAACAGAAACAGAGAAAGCAAGAAGGCAAAAGTTGAGCAATAATAATAACAATTTTTTTGAAGCGCAGAAACAGGCTGGACGCGGTGGCTCAAGCCTGTAATTTCAGCACTTTGGGAGGCCGAGGTGGCTGCATCACCTGAGGTCAGGAGTTTGAGACCAGCCTGGCCAACATGGTGAAACCCCATTTCCACTAAAAATACAAAAATTAGCCCGGCATGGTGGTGGGCACCTGTAGTCCCAGCTGCTCAGGAGGCTGAGACAGGAGAATTGCCTGAACCTGGAGGCAGACGTTGCAGTGAGCCGAGATTGGGCCACTGCACTCCAACCTGGACGAGAGACTCTGTCTCAAAAAAAATAAAAGATAAAGAGCAGAAACACTTCATTTTTCAATTTCAAATTTAATTTTTGTGCCAGTTTAGTTTTCTCAAACTTGCCCCATTCTCTCCAGTCCTCCTAATTACTTCCGTACCCCTGCTCTCTTATCTCAACTTGACGCATGCAGAGGGTAAGTGCAGAGCCAAATGAGAAAGAACAGGCAGAGAGGGTACAGGAAGGAGGGACCAAGGAAGGAGAGCTGGGGATGGAGGAAGGGTTGGGGGATAAAAGGAAAGACAGAGTTACTTACGCTTTCTTCCAAGGCTCAGGTGGCCCTCCAGCTGTCGAATCTGTTTCTGTAACTCCGGACTGGCTCCATGCCTTTGCAGCGCATGGCCAAGAAGAGAGCAAGCATACTGGGCGGCCCTAGAGGAGAGGGCAGGCAAGGTAAGGTGGAGACCTCCCTTACCTTCCGCTCAAAATTATCCTCCAAAAGGCACAGACTTCCCCCTTTCCCAGTTTGAGACCACTCCCCTTCCTCCTCCATGCCCATATCTCACCATTTCTCCAGGTCAGAGGAAGGAAAAGGCATAAGGAGAAAAAAGAGTCTAGAAAGGGGTGGGGAGCACTATTGAATGCTGAGCAAGTAAGAGATTTGACAATGATGAGGCCTGAAGGGGCCAGTGCAGGCCGCAGGGGTCCATCACAAGCACATCAGCGTGAGCATGTATGTGATCGATGAGGGGAGGCAGACAGTTGGAGGGCATTTTATTCCTCAGAATAGGTGAACTAAGAGATTTCAAGGCCCTCTAGCTGAATGGAGACCAAACGCCAGGACGGACGCAGAGGAGTTCCCGAATGACAGCACGGTGTGGGGACATGGAAACTGGGAGTGCCTCCTCAGCTCTGGGGGCAGAGTCCAGGGCTATCCACCGTGGGGTGAATGCTCCTCATTCCATCACCGCTCAGTGAGAACACTGTCGGTCTTATGTGGACACAGCAACCCTGAGTGGCCTCCCCGCTGACCCACTCATGCCTCAGTTTCCCCATCTCTTCCGCGAGCGGAAAGGAATCATCTCCTCAACAGCGGCTCAAATCTGCACCTCACGGTCCGTTCGGGCCCCCGTAGCCAGAGTTGACCCTTCTTGACCCCCCTATAGCCTGAACTGACTTCGCCTCACTAGAGTCTTCCTCTGCCCATCCCTCCCCCGCCCCACCCCCATTCCTATTCGGGCCGCACCTACATAGCCGCTCCCGGGCTTGGCTCTGAGCACTGAAGCGGACCCAGGCGTCCATGACAGCGGTAGCCCAGGCTCCGCGGCCCCGCTCCCGCCCCACTTCCCGCCCCTAGTCACGCCTCCTGCGCGACCCAACGGTGCCTCGCGAGGGACAAACAATATCAGAAAAGAAAGCGAGTGGAGCTGGCCCTCCAAGCGGAATTTCAGGACGCGAAACGCGTGTCTTTTGAGCCTACATCTGCGTATTATTGTGTGTGTCTCTGTCCGAGGGTCTCCTTATCAGACGATCACCACTCCCTAGCACGCCTCCAGCGGCACATTCTTCTTTAAATATTCAGGACCAAGGGCGGGGCCTGCAGGGGTCGGGGCGGGGCAAGAAAGCGCCGCAGTGAACTCCACGCCTTGGAGGCCGGAATAGGTGTGCGCCCGGCAGAACATCCCAAATACACATGCACTCAGGCTCCGACTGAATCCAGGGCTGTAAGGGCTAAAGAGGTCTAGGGCAGTAGAGACCCGAAGCCCAGGCTGGTCTTTCCAAGGAAAAAGGAGCGTGACTGATACCAGATCTTCGTTCCCTGCAGAACCTTGACAGTTGGACAAGTGACCTCCTCCAGAACAGACGGAGAGTCTCCAGAAGCAGAGGCTTTAGTGAACGAAATTCGCAATAATCAGCTCCAGATCCTGAAAAGGTGGGCGAAGAATCAGTGGCCAAAGCTAAGCGCTTCATACCCACACTGCCTCCTCCTCAGTTTCTCTCCAGGCCACCATGTCTGCAGGCAACGGCACCCCTTGGGGGTCAGCAGCGGGGGAGGAGGCCTGGGCTGCATCGGGAGTGGCGGTGGAGGGCTCAGAGCTGCCCACCTTCTCGGCAGCAGCCAAGGTCCGAGTGGGAGTGACCATTGTGCTGTTTGTTTCTTCGGTTGCAGGGAACCTGGCCGTCCTGTGGTCAGTGACACGGCCGCAACCCAGCCAGCTCCGCCCCTCTCCGGTCAGGACACTCTTCGCCCATTTAGCAGCTGCCGACTTACTAGTCACTTTTGTGGTTATGCCCCTAGATGCCACCTGGAATATCACTGTTCAATGGCTGGCCGGGGACATCGCATGTCGGACACTCATGTTCCTGAAACTAATGGCCATGTATTCTGCAGCTTTCCTGCCTGTGGTCATTGGACTGGACCGCCAGGCAGCAGTACTCAACCCGCTTGGATCCCGTTCAGGTGTAAGGAAACTTCTGGGGGCAGCCTGGGGACTTAGTTTCCTGCTTGCCTTGCCCCAGGTGAGTGACCTAGGACTCAGGACCGGGCAGGACAGGGATTGGGTCTCTAGCATGAGTTAAAGGGTGCGCTCGGGGGCCATTAGCCATTAATTCTCGGGGAGTAAGCCCCTGCCTTCTTTTTTTTTTTTTTTTTGCCGGCTCACTGCAACCTCCGCCTCCCCGGTTCAAGCAAGTCTTCTGCCTCAGCCTCCCGAGAAGCTACAGGCGCCCGCTACCACGCCCGGCTAATTTTTGTATTTTTAGTAGAGGCGAGGTTTCACCATGTTGGCCAGGTGATCTCCATCTCCTGACCTCGTGATCCGCCCGCCTCAGCCTCCCAAAGTGCTGAGATTACAGGCGTGAGGCACCCTGCCCGGCTACCTCTGCTCTCTTCTGTAAGATTATTAGCATGTTAATTTACATCTGTTAAGAGCCTGCCTTTTATAAGCAGTATCCTCTATTTGTGCCTCTTCCATTAGATCTGTTTTACTACACTTGGCTTCTGCATCTTTGCATCCTCCCAATCTCACCTCCTTCAGATTGGGGCAGGGAAGAAAAACAGAAAAACATACATGGGGGTCTATGAAGAGAGTGAAGTCAGTGGTTTGGGTAAAACTTTGTGGTACACTCATTTATCCATTCAAAAGTAATATGCATCTCCAGGGCCACTCAAATTTTGCTAAGGATAGGGCAGCAAAATTCTGCCTTCAGGAAATGTATTGACTAGCGCAGGAAACAAAGAAATTAGGCACTTACAATATAGTGTATTCAAAAGTGTTATGCTAAAGGAGCTAAAGAAGACAATGGGGGTGGGGAGCAGAGAGGGGTGTCTGACACAGCTGTGCAGTCAGGAACAGCTTTCCAGATGTTAACGTTTGATTCTTCACAGATAGGTGTTAGACCAATTAAAATAGGAGAAATGCTAGGGAAGATGGAGGATAGAGGATCTCAATGCCAATGCTGCTAAAGCTGAGGACTAGTTAATGGTGAGTAATGAGCTGAGAGGGGAAGAGCCAGCCAGATCACAAATAATAAAATTGTACTTTATCCTGAGTGCAGTGGAGAGACACTAAAGTAAAGAGAGTGACATAACCAAATTTGTGTTTTTTACTGATTTTATTGTCGAATGAGCGTTAAAATTGGAAAGAGGCGAGCATCTGAACCTGAGTACTAGGTTAATCAAATCTCAAAGCAAATCCAATACTGAAAAGGAACTAGAAATCTAGGTGGGGAAAAAAGCTAAATACAAAGCAATTCCTTCAAGGCAAACACCACTATCACTATCATGGGGTTGGGGGGCAGGATAGAGCAGCATCTCCGAGACTGTAGGATTAGAATTATGTCTAGAAGGAGGCCAAGAAGGGTCTAGGATTTGTTTCTGGAATGATAATATATTATACTGATTTAAGATTTGATCCTTACTTACATCCTCAATTATTAGAAATATAACTACTAGAAGTTAGTCTGACTATACTCCTAAGAACAAAGAAAGGCCTGGTGGCTCAAGCCTGTAATCCCAGCATTTTGGAAGGCCAAGGCGGGTGGATCACTTAAGGTCAGGAGTTCAAGACCAACCTGGCCAACATGATGAAACCCCATCTTTACTAAAAATACAAAAATTAGCCCGGTGTAGTGGTGAGCACCTGTAATCTCAACTATTCAGGAGGCTGAGGCACGAGAATTTCTTGAACCTGGGAGGTGGAGGCTGCAGTGAGCCAAGACTGCACTGCACTCTGGCGTGGGCGACAGAGCCAGACTCTGTCGGGGGGGATAAAAAGAGAAAAATAATACTTCTAATATGTTGCAAACAAGACCTTTACCAATCCAAGTGTTAAAAAGAAGCCTGTTGCTACAGTGCCATTTACAATTAGGTTTGTTTACATAAAGCAAATTTTACATGTGGACTGGGAATTAGAAGACTTTTTGTTTCAGTTTGCCTGTTTTACTCTGTTTTTTTTCTGAGTCTCGGGCTCTACTGCTAACTAGCTATATGATTTTGGCTAAGGCACTTGAAATCCATGGGCCACAAGATGATGCAATGGGAAATGAATTTCATCCTTTCTTATAGCCTGACAATCTGACAATATTTGCAATCTCTATTTGTTTCAATGGCAAACTGATTGTGACACGCATGATACTTGTGCAAAAGGTGAAATTTTTTGGTTCCAAATTAGTATCCTTGTGGGTAAATTCTGCCTTGCCCATATGCTGTAATTGTAGTTAAAATATTAGTGTTAATAAAATAAAAAATTTAATGTCACGTTAGTGTGGTAAGGGCTTAGGAGTCCTTAGGGGTACTATTGGGGTGGTTAGAAATTACTTATTTTTGTAGGCTTTGACTTTTTTTTTTTTTTTTGGAGTCTCGCTCTGTCACCCAGGCTGGAGTACAATGGCACAATCTCAGCTCACTGCAAGCTCCACCTCGTGGGTTCAAGCCATTCTCCTGCCTCAGCCTCCTGGAGTTCCCCAGTAGCTAGGACGACAGGCACCTGCCACCACGCCCGGCTAATATTTTGTATCTTTAGTACAGACAGGGTTTCACCGTATTAGCCAGGATGGTCTCGATCTCCTGACCTCGTGATCAGCCCGCCTCAGCCTCCCAAAGTGCTGGGATTACAGGCATGAGCCACTGCGCCCAGCCAGCTTTGACTATTTTTATACTCCTCACGATTCTCACGTACTTCTTAGGCATAGCACAAAAACAAAAACAAATTATAAATATATGAATGCAAGAGATGGGAAGAGGAAAGAACATTTTCCAACTAGCTCAGAGTAGCCTGATTGTAACTCCAAACAGTTCTCAAAATTCTGTCTTATGCTGAAACTATTCATCTTTCCTAAATGTCCCTCATGTCTGCTAAAATCACTGTCCCAAATGCCTTGTATCTAGGAATCTGATACCTACTGAGCTTACCTTTTATCAAATTAATAGTGACAATCTGCATTACTGGAACCCAGGCACTTTAACCTTGTAGTTCTAAACGGAAATAGTTTTTACTGATTCAGTTGGAAAACCCAGCAATTTAACAAAAAGGGGGAGGGGCAGCCCAACAGCATTTGGAAAATGTTAAATTTTATTATTTAACATTCTTTACCATTATAGTTACTGCACATAAGACTATAACTACTAAAGGTCACTTCAGAGTCACTGCAAAATGGCCTGGAATTTTGGCAGCACCTATTTTACACAGTTTTTCTTTTTCCACAAAATAACAGACATACCAGGAAAATCATTTCAGCTAAAAATATGAGTGAGGTGGTAGAAATATCATCCCTTATAAAGCGCAGTGTTAGAATAGTACTTGAGAAGGTGGGATTGTTTTAAGTTCCAAGATTTAACAAACTCACTGCTCAGCATCATATTCAAGCCTAAAAGGAAGGCAGGATTTTCAAGACATATTTCCAACCTCTTTAACATGGCACCATGGATGAACTGTTTTCAGCACTGTGCTGCTTCACTTGGAATTAAGGATGAATTGGGAGGAGACAGTATGACATAGGTGGGTAGGCTGGGTGGTGAGGGGAACCAGTTCTAATAGTCCTGAACTCCACTCCAGCTGTTCCTGTTCCATACCGTCCACCGAGCTGGCCCAGTCCCTTTCACTCAGTGTGTCACCAAAGGCAGCTTCAAGGCTCGATGGCAAGAGACCACCTATAACCTCTTCACCTTCCGCTGCCTCTTTCTGCTGCCACTGACTGCCATGGCCATCTGCTATAGCCACATTGTCCTCAGTGTGTCCAGCCCTCAGACAAGGAAGGGGAGCCATGGTGAGACTCCAATTCCCAGGCCTTAATCCTTAACCCTAGACCTGTTGCCTCTAGCATCATTTATCCACCTACCTAATAGCTATCTACCAGTCACTCAACTGTGGTGAGATCCTAACCATATGTCTAGCACCTGATGCTAATTTTGTTGAATCCTTTCAATTATAAACAGCTGAGTTAGCTGGACAAGGACTAGGGAGGCAATCAGTATTATTTATTCTTGAACACCATCAAGTCTTAAAGTAGACTGGGTGGCTTCACATTTCTATCATAATCCCTGGGGGTAAGAGATCATATAGTCCTAGGATGGGAAGGGGAAAAGGGTTTGCAGCATTCTCCTCCTTGTAGGAGGCAAGCTCTGTGTCACTAGCTATGCCCCTCCATCAGTTCACCCTACACTCAGTTCAGAAGCTTAGACTCTGAATTACAGTATATTTTCTAAATTCCTAGCCCCTGCTGGTGAATTTGCCCTCTGCCGCTCCTTTGACAATTGTCCCCGTGTTCGTCTCTGGGCCCTGAGACTGGCCCTGCTTATCTTGCTGACCTTCATCCTCTGCTGGACACCTTATTACCTACTGGGTCTGTGGTACTGGTTCTCCCCCACCATGCTAACTGAAGTCCCTCCCAGCCTGAGCCACATCCTTTTCCTTTTTGGCCTCCTCAATGCTCCTTTGGATCCTCTCCTCTATGGGGCCTTCACCCTTGGCTGCCAAAGAGGGCACCAAGAACTTAGTATAGACTCTTCTAACGAAGGGTCTGGGAGAATGCTCCAACAGGAGATTCATGCCCTTAGACAGCAGGAAGTACAAAAAACTGTGACATCAAGAAGTGCAGGAGAAACAAAAGACATTTCTATAACATCTATCTGATCCTAACACAGTATATAGGAACAAAATAATAAGTCTTTAATACCATAAGATCTTAACATCTCACTTCTACTCCTGCTCTCCTAGTTCCCCCAAAAAAGAAATACTGACCAGTGTCTACTTTAAACCCTACCTGAAACTTGAGACTGTATCTAGTATAGAAATTCACATAACCAACCCAGGCAACACAGCAAGACCCCATCTCTACAAAAATATTAAAAATTTAGCCGGGCATGCTGGCATGTGCCTGTAATCCCAACTACTAGGGAGGGGGAGGCAGAAGGATGGCTTGAGCCCAGGAGTTTGAAGCTGCAGTGAGCTATGATCACGCAGCTGCACTCCAGCCTGGGGAACACAGAAAGACTCTATCTCAAAAAAAAAAGAAATAGAGTTCAGTCCCTAGAATTATCTTCACAATGATCCATACAGCCTTACTATGCTTTAGAACTTTCAATTTTATGATAGGAAAGTAATATTAAATGTAGAAAACAAAAATGGAACATTTATTCGCAACTCAAATAGTATGCATATAGGGTAAGAGATTAAATATGAACACAGCAAGTTCCACCCCAGTCCTATTTGTCCAAGGCTGCATGGTCAAATGGAATCTTGAAGAGAACACCTGGACAACAGAGGACCTGTCAGCGACGTCTCCGGTCTGGACTTCTGCTGCGTCTTCGGCCTCCTCTAGGGAAAAAGAAGCAGGGAGAAGAGTCCATCAGAGGGACATAATACTGCCTCCTCATTCTGTTTTGTTCATATTCCCTTCACCCAGTGTTTGCCCTCTTCATTTTACCTCCTCTTGCCTTTTGGTGGACCCCGAACAAAACACCAGTCAACGCTGATGGGCTGTCCCATCAAATCCTGGCCATTGAGTCCCTCCATAGCAGCCTGGGCCTCCTTGTATGTTTCATACTCAACTAGAGTATACCCCTGGGGAAAGTAAAAAGACAGATATGAAAACCCTCCTATTTCCCCAAGCATCACTGAGTACCTTTTTCCTCAAATCTAAACTCAGAAAAATCTATAAAATTTAAGCAATGAATGTACATCATATATCTCTGTATATATACAACATGTCTGTCTCTTTGGCGTGTCTGACAAAACATATCCATGTTTTAAATGTCATTTTATTTAATAAAATGACATCCAATGTCATTTTATTTTAACTTTGCTCTTGGCCAACCACAGCAAACACAGAACTACCAATGCTGTCTAAGGGTTATGAAAGAAAGGAGGCAATAAAGTGTCACTTAGGATACCTTCAGATATCCTGTTCGCCTGTCGAGGTTGAGGTGAATGTTTTTAATTTCCCCATATTCTGCGAATTTGTCGTGTATGTCTTCTTCAGTGGCTTCCTCATGGACTCCAGTGACAAAAAGAATCCAGCCTTCAACAGCTGTTGGGGGACGGGGGGAAGTTGTATGAGTACATGAGAGAAACGCTTCAAGCAGGCTCACGGGAGTAGAGTGAGTGTGGACTCAGATTGTTTAAGCTATCTCTGAACCCACTCCTACTGCTTAACTATTTTATCCCTTTCTAACTACTACCACAGGCACGGATACCTCACAGGTTCCATTATTACTCACAGCGTTGTGGTCCGGGTTCATCGCCATCCTGCTCCACGCTGTCATAATCCTCACGCATCCGCGCTCGGGACCCCTCTTCTATAAGGGACACACACGAGATCACCGAAAACTCCCCCTTTCTCCCATTGTTCCTATGAGTTGGGTGGGGACTCCAAAACCCGGGGCTCCTACTAGGCCACTCTACCCCATTCTCCCCACACTCACCGGAGCCAAAGCCGCGACCCTTCCGTTTCTTCGCTTTTTCTTTCAGTTTGTGAATGCTCTCTGGAGCCCCAGAAGATAAAAGAGTAAGTAACCATGACAGTCATTTGTAACGATCGTTTCTTTCCCAAGACACTGTCTGCAAGCCGACCCAAACCGCCTCCAGTCTCAGTGCCTTCCCGGTCACGCCCTCCCTTCTCCCAAAGGGGGCGGAATCTCTAATCCATCCAAGACCCGGTTCCCCGATTCCCATCCTCACAACCCGGGAGAAAAGAGAGTAAATTTTCCTATTATAGCCTTCTCTCACACCTTCCCCGCTACGCCCGGCCGCCTCCACTGTCCTCACCGTCCCCATCCTCATCCATGGCGAAATCTTCGCCCCCGGCCTCGTGAAGATCTAGCACGTCCGCCATCTCGCCTTCGATCGAGATCTCGTCTGTGCCGCTCAGACACTAGGTACCTCGGGAAACTGTCGCAGAGGGGAAAGGTCGCCAGTCAAGCTGACCAATCAAAGGCTAACTCTAAATCCCTCCCTCTGCACGGTAAAAATACGCAAATTGGGGCGGGCCTAGTTCGGAAAGATGCCGGAAGTGTTTCTGTGGCCATCTTGAGCAGGTCGCGAGCTAAATGCTGCCATGTTGGGAGGTGCAGACTACAGGGGTCAGTGGATTCCTCTTAACCGCGGCAGCTGCTGAGAGATACTGTACTATTAACAGTGAGGCCCGGCGTAATTTCCTTATTAGAGGGCTTCTTTATGTCTCTTCATCCCAAACTGGGAAATGGTCACTGAAGACACCTTTTTCTATCAAAAATCCCAGGCCTGTACCCTGTTCCGAGGCAAGGTGATGTATGATAGGAACGTCTTTAAAAAATAGTTTGATCAGCAATACGGGCATAAAGAGCTGCTTCTGGAACGTACTGCAGCACCTAATTTCTCTTCAGGAAACTAACAGACCTGGTTGCAATATGATTGGTGAGACCGATATCAATTTTTGTTTTTTTTTAAGATAAAACTCCCTGCCTGTAATCCCAGCTACTCGGGAGGCTGAGGCAGGAGAATCGCTTGAACCCGAGACGGAGGTTGATTATGTGGGCGTGGTGGAGTGCGCCTGTAATCCCAGCTACTCGGGAGGCTGAGGCCAGAGAATCACTTGAACCTGGGAGATGGAGGTTGCAGCGAGCCGAGATCTTGCCACTGCACTCCAGTCTGGGGGACAAGAGCGAGAATCCGTCTCAAAAAAAAAAAAAAAGTGAAAAAGAGTAAAACGAAAAATAAAATTTCAAAGCGATTAGGAGACACTAATTTATTCTCCACGTAGGTAGTGTGATCATTTTAAAAATCAGTTGGTTACATATCTACTAAAAACCCTTTTTGTTGTTTTGAGACGGAGTCTCGCTCTATCACCCAGGCTGAGTGCAGTGGCGGTCTCAGCTCACTGCAACCTCCGCCTCCGGGGTTCGAGCGATTCTCCTGCCTCAGCCTCCTAAGTAGCTGGGACTACAGGCGCCCGCCCCCACACCCGGCTAATTTTTGTATTTTTAGTAGAGATGGGATTTCACCATGTTGGCCAGGCTGCTCTTGAACTCCTGACCTCAGGTGATCCACCAGCCTCTGCCTCCCAGAGTGTTGGGATTACAGGCATGAGCCACGGTGCCCGGCCTAAAAACCCTTTTTGTTAGAGGGGTCTGGCTATACTACCCAGGCTGGCCCGAAACTCCTGGGCACAAGGGATCCTCTGGCCTCCCAAGCAGCTGGGACTACAGGCGTGTAACCCTGCACCTGGTTCTTTCTTTGGCTTTTTGCTGCACTTAAAATAAAATTTTTAACTCACATAGCCTGCTCTGTGTTTTCAACCTGTTCTACCACCATTCTTCTCCGTCACCCATGAAGCTCTCCTTGCACTTTCGCCCAATGGTGGTGTGCTCTTTCTCATCCCAGGGCTTTTGCAACTTGTTTGTTTGTTTTTGTTTTCAAGACGGGAGTCTCTGTCGCTCAGGCTGGAGTGCAGTGATGCGATCTTGGCTCACTGCAACCTCCGTCTCCCGGGTTCACGTCTTCTCCTGCCTCAGCCTCCTGAGTAGCTGGGACTACAGGCGTGCGGCACCACACCTAGCTAATTTTTGTATTTTTAGTGGATATAGGGTTTCACCATGTTGGCCAGCCTGGTTTCTAACTCCTGACTTCCGATCATCCCCCCTTCTCAGCCTTCCAAAGTGCTTGGATTACAAGCATGAGCCACTGCTCCCCGCAGCTTTCTGTTCCTGGTGCTCTTCTCCTCTAGCTTTTCACATATTGGGTTCGAACTCATTTTTTTTTTTTCTTTGAGATGGAGTCTCGCTCTGTCACCTAGGCTGGAGTGCAGTGGCGCGATCTCGGCCCACTGCAGCCTCCACTTCCTGGGTTCAAGTGATTCTCCTGCCTCAGCCTCCCAAGTAGCTGGGACTTCAGGCACGTGCCACCACGCCCAGCTTTTTAAAATTTTTTTAGTAGAGACGGGGTTTCACCATATTGGCCAGGCTGATCTTGAACTCTTTACCTTGTGATCCACCCACCTCGGCCTCCCAAAGTGCTGGGATTACAGGCGTGAGTCACCGCGCCCAGCCGAGTTCGACCTCATTCTTAAGGTCTCAATAGTACTGTCACCCAAAGGGATCTTCTGTACCCTCCTATCTTTCACTGTGTATTTCCTTCACAGAACTTAAATCAGAATCTTCTTTTTTTTTTTTTTTTTTTTGAGACAGGGTTTCACTCTGTCAACCAGGCTGAGTGCAGTGGTGCAATTATGGCTCACAGCGGCCAATCTCCCAGGCCCAAGTGATTCTCCTGCCTCAGCCTCCTGAGCATCTGGGACTACAGGCACAGGCCACTACATGCGGCTAATTTTTAAAAAATCTTTTGTAGAGACAGAGTCTTGCCATGTTACTTAGGCCAGTCAGAATCTTTAATTACCTTGTTTACTTTCTAACTTATTGTCTGTTTTTCCCATTAGAATGTAATCCTTATGGCAGAGATAGTTATTTACAACTAAAATCCCTAAAGTTCAGCCCAATGTCTGGCTCATGGTAGACATCTGATAGATACTTATTGAATGAATGAATATTAGAATGGCAGGATATTCTGTCTGCCTGATGCTATGTGACTGGAAAATAAAGCTGGAAATACAGTTTAGGGTCTGCTATGCTAAGGATTTTGGAATTGATGCTATAAGCAAGAAATTTACCTACTTCAAATATTTGAGTATTCATGGTTTTAAATATTTGCAGATAGTCCCCATACTAGTTTTTGCTTATTTTTCCTTAGACTGACTTTAAACATAAATGTATACTGAAAGGAAAATCAATATTTTTCTACTACAAATTCAGATAAAAGCACAACTATTAAAAACTGTTTGCCCATCTATCATCTAAAATCATCTCAGGAACACATATAAAACTGGGAAATGGTAGGCCAGGCATGGTAGCTCACGCCTGTAATCCCAGCACTTTGGGAGGCCGAGGCGGGTGGATAGTTTGAGTTCAGGAGTTCAGGACCAGCCTGGGCAATATAGCAAGACCCATCTCTACAAAAAATTTAAAAAGAATTACTTGGGTGTGGTGGTGTGTGCCTATAGTCCTAGCTACTCTGGAGGTTGAGGTGGGAGGATTCCTTGAGCCTGGGAGGTGGGGTTGTAGTGAGCCAAAATCACACCACTGCATTCCGGCCTGCTCATTAGAGTGAGACTCTGTCTCAAAAAAAAATTTTTTTTTAACTCTGGGAAATGCTGCTAAAGGTAAAGATAGTTCAGTGATGGCTTAAGCAAGGGAGTATCACAGTCATAAGTATTTTATAAAGAAATATGACAGTAGGGTGGAGGATGTTAAGAATGGAGGTGAAGACCAGCTAGGAAGCTATTATAGTGATCCAGTCTGGAGATGAGAAAGGACCAAACCTAAACTAAGGCAGTAAATATGGACAAAACATATTAGGAGGTAGGCCAGGCACAGTGGCTCACACCTGTAATCCCAGCACTTTGGGAGGCCGAGGTGGGCGGATCACCTGAGGTCAGGTGTTCGAGACCAGCCTGGCCAACATGGTGAAACCCCATCTCTACTAAAAATTTAAAAATTCGCCAGGTGTGGTAGTGGGTGCCTATAATCCCAGCTACTTGGGAGGCTCAGGCAGGAGAATCTCTTGAACTCGAGAGGCAGAGTATGCAGTGAGCTGATACTGCACCATTGTACTGGGCGACAAGAGCAACACTCCGTCTCAAAAAAAACAACTTATTAGGAGGTAGACTCAACAGTAGTGACTGATTAGATTATGGTAGAGAAGAGTTGAGGGCAGATCTGAGGTGTGTGGCTTAGGTAACAGCATAGATAATAATTCTAATAATAGATCAGCCGGGCGTGGTGGCTCACACCTGTAATCCCAGCACTTTGGGAGGCCGAGGCAGTCGGATCACCTGAGGTCAGGAGCTCGAGACCAGCCTGGCCAACATGGTGAAACCTGGTCTCTAATAAAAATACAAAAATTAGCCGGGCGTAGTGGTGGGCGCCTGTAATCCCAGCTACTCGGGAGGCTGAGGCAGGAGAATCGCTTGAACCCAGGAGGCAGAGGTTGCAGTGAGCTGAGGTCACGCTATTGCACTCCAGCCTGGGGGACAAGAGCGAGACTTTGTCTCAATAATAATAATAGTAATTTGAATAATAGATCTAGAGAGTCAAAGAGGAATCAGTAGGGAGAAATGTATTTTATTTTGGATATGTTTCAAAGGGCTTTTGTCATATTCAGGTGGTCATGTCCAGTATGTGGAAAGTAAATGTAAAAGCTTAAAACAGGTTGGGGAGGAAGAAATAGATTTGAGAGTCATGTGTATAGTGGAGTTCAAGCCACCATAATGGGTGAGATTGCCAGTGGGAGTAGGTAGAGTTGGGGAGAAAGGGCCAAGGACAAAGTCCAGGTTAAATGTCTGCAGAAAGGGAGGCAGGCTGCCTTGTGGAATCATTTCTACCACCCCAAAAATGCTAATAAAAATTCTTTTTTTTTTGAGATGGAGTCTCGCCCTGATGTCCCAGGCTGAAGTGCAATCACTCAATCTCGGTCTACTGCAACCTCCGCCTCCCAGGTTCAAGCGATTCTCCTGCTTCAGCCTCCCAAGTAGCTGGGATTACAGGCGCCCACCACCACGCCCAGTTAATTTTTTATTTTTTTTAGTAGAGATGGGGGTTTCACCATGTTGGCCAGGCTGGTCTCGAACTCCTGACCCCGTGATCCACCCACCTCGGCCTCCCAAAGTGCTGAGATTACAGGTGTGAGCCACTGCGCCCAGCCTAAAAATTCTTATTTAGTATACATGTAAAAGAACAGGGCCGTTTTAGAGCTTCTCTAATATATAGGTCTCAAGAAAGAGTCAGTCTGGCTCACTAGACAAAAATCTATTTTTAATTGTATAAAATTATACATATAAAATACATAGAATGTACTAAGAAGATGAGTAAAATCTTTGACACCAGAATTTGACAGATCAGGAAACAATTTTTCTCAAGTTATTTGGGATCTTACTGGTTGGTATTTGAGAAACATAATAAATCCAGGAGGTACGAGGACAATTCTTCCCACAACTCACACCCCTTAACCCATACTTCTTCCCAGAGAAGGGAGCACAGGAGAAACAGGAGTGTTGATGAGTGCCAGCTTATAAATATCAATACAAACAGACACACCTGGTATGTCTAGCTGTTTTTGCCTTTACTCCAACCCAACGTGTTTCATGGAATACAAAGATGGGGCTTCTACCCCAGCTCTCTTCTGATTAGTAAGAAAAAAAAAAAATGATAGGGCCTGGAGAATTCAAGGAAGCCCGTTTCAAGCACTAATAAAATTGTAGCTGGATTCCTTACCTCTTATCCAACATGATTTCAAAAGCAAGAAAGTTGCCTTTCATCTTGCCCCTACCAAATCCAAAAAAGCAAATTATGGCCTATTTCCTAATCTATTTATTCTTATTGTTGTTGTTACATTTGAACTTTCTGTTTGGAACCTCATCTATTTCTAAAAGGAAAGTCTGTATAACTGTCAAGTGCAAAGTCCAATTGCAGGAATACTAAATGTCCCAAGCTCACTTTAGAAAGTACATGGGACAATAATATAGTATAAAAGAGATCACAGAAACAAGGGGGAAATATATATTAGAGACCTCCAAAAAAATTATCTGAAAGGAGAATACTTTAGCTGCTGTACTACCAGTTATTTCTCTCTTATGTCACCCAGGAAAGAGGTGGGGGAGAATGGTGTTAAAAATACAAATAGTTTGGGAGGCCGAAGCGGGTGGATCACGAGGTCAGGAGATCGAGACCATCCTGGCTAACACAGTGAAACCCCGTCTCTACTAAAAATACAAAAAATTAGCTGGGCGTGGTGGCAGGCGCCTGTAGTCCCAGCTACTCGGGAGGCTGAGACAGGAGAATGGCGTGAACCTGGGAGGCGGAGGTTGCAGTGAGCCAAGATCCGGCCACTGCACTCCAGCCTTGGCGACAGAGTGAGACTCCGTCTCAAAAAACACCACCACCACCCACAAATAGGCCAGGCGCAGTGGCTCACGCCTGTAATCCCAGCACTTTGGGAGGCTGAGGCGGGTAGATTACCTGATGTCAGGAGTTCACAAACAGCCTGGCCAACATGGTGAAACCCCGTCTCTACTAAGAATACAGAAATTAGCCAGGCGTGGTGGCGTGTGCCTGTAATCCCAGCTACTGGGGAGGCTGAGGCAAGAGAATCGCTTGAACCCTGGAGGCAGAGGTTGCAGTGAGTCGAGATCGCCCCATTGCACTCCAGCCTGGGCAACAGTGTGAGACTCCATCTCCAAAAACCAAAAAAAACCACACACACACAAATAACTGCAGTCTCCCAAGGTGTCATTTAGGAAGTGCTAAAAACTAAAGTCTCATTTAATTTTCCTGATCAACTCATGTTCTAATAATTAATGTGGAAGAAGAGAAAAGAAAGAGAAAACAAATGAGAATCTAAGGTAGTAAACAGCAGCAACTTAGCGGGAATAAGGGGAACATGGTTCTCACTAACCAGATAGGACTGATAATGCTTCCAGAAAATAAAATATTGGGTGAAAGGAAATATGGAAATATGTTTTACCTTCTACTAATAGCTGCAGGCAGGAAGTTCTAAACGCAGGGTTTAACGAAGCTGGGTGAGCAGGGGACATGTGCAGAGGGAATAGTGAAAGATAATCAGTTTCAACCATAACCCCCATCTACTGTAGAGTATATCCAGAAATCTAGACTACTAGTATGGTATACATATGCCCTAGAAGCAACTTAGGTAGTAAAGTCCCATGAATTGTTTGTAATTTAACTTGTCCCTGGGCAGTTTCTTAGGAGTGGCTTCAGAAGCAAGATCTCTACTTCTTTCAGAATAATAAGGTAGGGAAGGAAGCCTCAAAACAAAGTGGAAATTTGGAGGCAGAGAAGGAATAAGGTAGTGGTGGGCAGGAAAGGGATAGCAAGCAGGTTCAGCTCAAGAACTAAAGGCAAAATCTTCATACTCATACCCTGTTTGAGTCCAAGAAGAAGCAGGAATGAGAGTAAGAGTGGGGCATATACTCCTTATTCAAGCTACTGATATTTGAAAAGAAGGAGACATGAACACTTGAGTTAATCTTTTAGTGCTACTGAAATGACTACACAGTTAATCTGAAAGTTTAAGAGCTAACAAAGCTTCAAAGACAACGTGCTCTTTCTTGTAAAGTGGACTGAAGATGTTTCAAATAAAACTACATCCAAAAACTGGAAGTAAGAAAAGGGATCTCTTAGCAAATAGGAATCTAGGTGTAGAATCTATACACATATATATATATATTTTTTTAAGTATAAAATTGAGAAAGTATGTACAAAAAATCATTCTAAATCTTAGAAAGGAGACATACAAAAAAGGCTGTGGAAAGGCTGGGGAGTATGTGGGTGGATGCCTAGCAGTTGGAAGAATGCATATTGCCCAACTGCCCAGCAGCCAGCACGAGAATATCTTTCTTCTCCTTGTGGAAGCGCAGCTCCTTGCCTGCCAGTCGGGCTTCATCCAGCTCCCGCTCAGTAGAGGCCAGCTCTCTAGACAGTGCCCCTGGCACACTCTGCTCCCGGCTCACCCAGTCCAAGGCCATTTGGTGGCGAATATCATCATCCAGAGCCCGGTGCGAGTAATGAGCCAACACCTCCTAGTAGGGGAGGGGAATGTGAACAGCATTGAGAAGGTAAAGGTTCATATCATACCACACTGACCCAACTGGGACTAAGAACTCAGTTTTAGAGACCTAACTGAGGTCAGCACCTAAATCCTTCAAGGAGATTCTTAAAGGAAACTTCCTGGTAGGGGAAGCAAGATAGACAAAAGAATCACAGCTAATATTTAAATAGGAAAGATTACAGGGATGAAGAGGGTACTTAGGTAAGGCTTTCAATATTCACAACCATAGGTCACAATAGACCTTATTCCTAACATAGTAACCACCTCAAAAGAGTCCGCTGACAGATTGTGCTCCCCTCATTCACCCCCACTCATAAAATCTCTTACCTGCCGAGAGCATTGTCGTTCCCTCATGGCCTTAAGGCTGCCATTCCAGTGTAGCAGTTGAAAAACTGTCATTAGCTCCTGGCGGAAGAATAGGAAGTACCGGGACAGTGATTTTATATTGGGAGGTTACATCAGAATTACATGGGAAACCTTTTACAAAATGGATTTGTAGAAGCAACTTTCATCACTAACTCTGATAGGTCTTTGGGAAAGGAAAATATTTATTTATTTACTTATCTATTTGAGACAGAGTCTTGCTCTGTCACCCAGGCTGGAGTGTAATGGCGCAATCTCAGCTCACTGCAACCTCTGCTTCCTGGGTTCAAGCAATTCTCATGCCTCAGCCTCCCAAGTAGCTGGGATTACAGGCATGTGCCATTATACCCAGCTAATTTTTGTATTTTTAGTAGAAACGGGGCTTTGCCATGTTGGCCAGGCTGGTCTCAAACTCCCGGCCTCAAGTGATCCACCTGCCTCAGCCTCCCAAAGTACTGGGAATACAGGCATGAGCCACCACGCCTGGCCAGGAAGGTATTTATTTTTGAAAAACAGTGTAACAATCTTCTTTCCTTTCCAGTATCAGTGAGTTAGGAATTAGTAGGAACCATTATATATTATAGGAGCAGGCTGACCCATGTTATTAGAGCCAGGGAAGTACATGGGAAAGTACCTGGAACTCCAACATTGATTTGCCCTTGTTGGATTCCAGCATGAATCGGAAGGCACCAATCCCTGTATTTGGGTTGTCAGCTTCCTCCCTGTTGCCCTGGTAGTAGAGGAACAGAAAAGACAAATAGATTTTCAACCAGGATTATCATCTCAAGCAGCACTGTCCAGTAGAAATATAATGCAAGCCACATATTTAATTTAAAATTTCCTCTCTGCCACATTAAAGTAAAAATAAAGAGGTAAGTCCAGGTGCAGTGGCTCATGCCTGTAATCCCAGCACTGTGAGAGGCCAAGATGGGTAGATCACTTGAAGTCAGGAGTTTGAGACCAGCCTGGCCAACATGGTGAAACCCTGTCTCTACTAAAAATACAAAAATTAGCCGGGCGTGGTAGTGGGTGACTGTAAATCCCAGCTACTCAGGAGGCTGAGGCAGGAGAATCACTTGAACCTAGGAGGTGGAGATTGCAGAGATCGGGCCACTGCACTCCAGCCTGGACAACAGAGTAAGACTCTGTCTCAAAAAAAAAAAAAAAGTAAAATTAATTTTAATAATATATCTTATTTAACCCAATATGTTCAAAATAATACTTTTCAACTGTAGTCAGTATAAACATTATTAATAAAATATTTTACATTCTTGTACTGAGTTTCTGAAATGTGGTATAAGTGTGGGAAATTCTGGGTAGCAGTGTGGTCTCCTGGGCACTGACCTATTGTGTGTTCTATTGGTTATGTAACCCTGCAGGGTTAGAATTAAGACACGCTGTCCTGCATTCAAGCCCAGTATGTATAAAAACCACTACAGCACGGAAGTTAAGAGCATGGACTGGAACTCCTACAAATAGTGTGGCCTTGGTAAAGCCATTTAACCTCTCTGTTCTGCAGTTTCCTCTTCTGTAAGATGGGAATAATCATAGACCTACCTTAAATGATTGTTTTGAGAATTACAATTTTAAATTAAAAATAAAAATTTAATTTTTTTTTTCTTTCAGACGGAGTCTCACTCTGTTGCTCTGTCACCCAGGATGGAGTGCAGTGGTGCAATCTCGGCTCACTGCAACCTCTGCCTACTGGGTTCAAGTGATTCTCCTGCCTCAGCCTGCAGAGTAGCTAGGACTATAGGCATGCGCCACCACACCCGGCTGATTTTTATATTTTTAGTAGAGACGGGGTTTCACCATGTTGGCCAGGCTGGTCTTGAACTCTTGACCTCGGGTGATCCACCAGCCTCCACCTCCCAAAGTGCTGGGATTACAGGCGCGAGTCACCATGCCCGGCCCCGCATTTACACTGTATTAGGTATTATAAGTACTCTACAGATGATTTAGAGCATTCATTTGGGAGGATGTGCATAGGTTATATGCAAATACTATACTTTTTTTTTTTTTTTGAGACTGTGTCTCATTCTGTGTGTCACCCTGGCTGGAGTACAATGGATGGTCACTGCAGCCTCAACCTCCCCGGGATCAAGTGATCCTCTTGCCTCAGCCTCCCAAGTAGCTGGGATCACAGTCAAGTGCCTCCATACCCAGCTAATTATTTTATTATTTTTTTGTAGAGATGGAGTCTCCTTATGTTGCCCAGGCTGTACTCTGCTATTTTATATGAAGGACTTGAGCATCCTTGGGTTTAGGTGTCCTCGAGAGATCCTGGAACCAATCCCACATAGATCCCAAAGGAAGACTATAGAACCATACTTTTTTTTTTTTTTTTTTGAGATGAAGTCTCACTCTGTTGCCAAGGCTGGAGTGCAGTGGTGCAATCTCAGTTCACTGCAACCTCTGCCTCCTGGGTTCAAGCGATTTTCCTACCTCAGCCTCCTAAGTAGCTGGGACTACAGGTGTGTACCACCATGCCTGGCTAATTTTTGTATTTTTTAGTAGAGATGGGGTTTTGCCACGTTGGCCAGTCTGGTCTTGAACTCCTGACCTCAGGTGATCTGCTCACCTCAGCCTTCCAAAGTGCTGGGATTACAGGCATGAGCCACAATGCCCAGCTAGGAACCATAATTGCTTTCTTTTTTTTTTTTTTTTTTTTTTTGAGACAGGGTCTCACTTTGTCACCCAGGCTGGAGTACAGTAGTACAATCTTGGCTCACTGCAGCCTTGACCTCCTCACTCAAGTGATATTCCTGCCTCAGACCCCCAAGTAGCTGGGACTACAGGCGCGTGCCCCCATACCCAGGTAACTGTGTTTTTTGTAGAGATGGAGTTTCACCATGTTGCCCAGGCTGGTCTCCAACTCCTGAGCTCAAGTGATCTGCCTGCCTCAGCCCCGCAAAGTACTAGGATTACAAGTGTGAGCCACCACACCTGGCCTAGAACCATAATTTCAATAACAGTGAATTTAGTTATTTATTTTTTGAGACAAAATTTTGCTTTTGTCACCCAAGCTGGAGTGCAATAGCACAATCTCGGCTCACTTCAACCTCTGCCTCCTGGTTCAAGTGATTCTCCTGCCTCGGCCTCCCAAATAGCTGGGATTACAGGTGCCCGCCACATCCAGCTAATTTTTATATTTTTAGTAGAGGTGGCGTTTCACTGTGTTGGCCAGGCTGGTCTTGAACTCCTGACCTCAGGCAATCCGCTCGCCTCAGCCTCCCAAAGTGCTGGGATTACAGGCATGAGCCACTGCGCCTGGCCAACAATGAATTTAGAGCCTATGATCATATAAATACTGCACATCCCACTTTCTATAATCCACAGTTTCTTTCTTTTTTTTTTTTTCCTTTTCTTTTCTTTTTTTTTTTTTTTTTTGAGACAGAATCTCACTTTGTTGCCCAGGATGGAGTGCAATGGAATGATCTCACTGCACCTCCATCTCCCAGGTTTAAGCGAGTCTCATCCTTCAGCCTCCTGAGTAGCTGGCATTACAGGCGTGTGCCATAATACCCAGCTAATTTTTGCATTTTTTTCTTTTTTCTTTTTTTTTGAGACAGAGTCTCGCTCTGTCACCAGGCTGGAGTGCAATGGTGCGATCTCGGCTCACTACAACCTCTGCCTTCCGGGTTCAAGTGATTTTCCTTCCTCAGCCTCCTGAGCAGCTGGGACTACAGGCGCACCCGGCTACCACCACACCTGGCTAATTTTTTGCTTGTTTGTTTTTTTTGTTTGGTGTTTTTTTTTTTTTTTTTTTTTGAGACAGAGTCTCGCTCTGTCGCCCAGGCTGGAGTGCAGTGGCGCAATCTCGGCTCACTGCAAGCTCCGCCTCCCGGGTTCACGCCATTCTCCTGCCTCAGCCTCCTGAGTAGCTGGGACTACAGGCGCCCGCCACCACGCCCGGCTAATTTTTTTTGTATTTTTAGTAGAAACGGGGTTTCACCGTGGTCTCGATCTCCTGACCTTGTGATCTGCCCGCCTCGGCCTCCCAAAGTGCTGGGATTACAGGCGTGAGCCACCGCGCCCGGCCGCTTGTTTGTTTTTAAGTAGAGACGGGGTTTTACCATGTCAGCCCGATGGTCTCAATCTCTTGACCTCGTGATCTGCCCACCTCAGCCTCCCAAAGTGCTGGGATTACAGGCATGAGCCACCGTGCCCAGCCAATTTTTCTATTTTTAGTAGAAAGGGGGTTTTGCCATGTTGGCCAGGCTGGTCTCAAACTCCTGACTTCAAGTGATCTGCTGTCATCTGCCCCACAATGTGCTGGGATTACAAGCGTGAGCCATTGTGCCTGGCCCTGTTTTCTTTTACAATACCATTAGGTGACCTAAAAATAGCAAGTGTACTTTCCAAAAAATTTTAGCTGGGGTCTTCTTTTTTTATTTGGTTTGGATTAATATAAAAATGTTTTCATTCCCTGCAGATGCTGTTGACTGGGGCAAAGAATAATGGGAGAAAAACAGCTGGGTCCTAAAAAACAGAGGGAAACCAACTTTCAATAAAGTGTTCAACAACTAATCCACAAAGCAGATAACTGAACTAATTTAGTATATGTAATTACATCTTTTTTATTTTTATTTTTATTTTTATTTTTCTGAGACGGAATCTTGCTCTGTCACCCAGGCTGGAGTGCAATGGCATGATCTCAGCTCACTGCAATCTCCGCCTCCCAGGTTCAAGCTTTTCTCCTGCCTCAGGCTCCCAAGTAGCTGGGATTACAGGCGCCCACCACTGCGCCCAGCTAACTTTTGTATTTTTAGTAGAGATGAGGTTTCGCTATTTTAGCCAGGCTGGTTTTGACCTCCTAACCTCAGGTGATCTGCCTGCCTCAGCCTCCCAAAGTGCTGGGATTACAGGCATGAGCCACTGCACCCGGCCTGTAATTACATCTTAATTAAATGCAAATAGAACAGATACTTGGTCTGAGTATCAGTGAATTTGTGGAGAGGAAGGAAGATAGCAGTGTTAATTTCTAAGATGTAACTAAATTAAGTCAACTCGGGTTCTAATCTTGGCGTGACCACTTACGAGCTATATCATGTTGACACTTCACTTCTGTGTTTTTAGTCTCCTCATCTGTAAAATAGGAGTAATAATAGTACTTATACCTCCTAGGATTGTTGTGATGATCTAGTGAGGTAAAATACATATAAATCCCCTAGGACAGTCCCTGCCACAAGGTAATACTCAATTAGGATTAATTATGGTGATTCTTATCATCATCATTTGAAAGAACAGTTGTAAATAAAGAGAGTAAATAAATTATCCTCCTTGTTCCTAAAATAGATAAAAAGACATTTTATTATAAAAGGGTTATTTATCAATAAGATGAAGTAATGGAGGCAGGAGAAAAGTGACAATAAAAAACAGTCTTATAAAAAAAGAACAGCAGGCCGGGCGCGGTGGCTCACGCCTGTAATCCCAGCACTTTGGGAGGCCGAGGCGGGCGGATCACAAGGTCAGGAGATCGAGACCACGGTGAAACCCCGTTTCTACTAAAAATACAAAAAATTAGCTGGCGGCGGTGGCGGGCGCCTGTAGTCCCAGCTACTCAGGAGGCTGAGGCAGGAGAATGGCGTGAACCCGGGAGGCGGAGCTTGCAGTGAGCCGAGATTGCGCCACTGCACTCCAGCCTGGGCGACAGAGCAAAACTCTGTCTCAAAAAAAAAAAAAAAAGAACAGCAGAAACTAAGGTCTTAACCCAAATTAGCAAAAGCAAAATTCAAGCTCAATTTTCATTTTGGAATAGCTCTACAATTCCATAAATATGCAATTAAAGGTTTCTAGATACCAAAGAGATAAAATGAAAGAGACAAAACAACCAAAAACACATAAACACAGATACAGAATTAGAGACTGAGATATGTGGAACACATGACACAATAGACTGACAGAGAATAAATCAAAAGAACAGAGAGGTGGACCAGAAAGAAAACAGGAATTCATGCTCTGTTTCACAGTAATTTATGAATTCCCAAGCAGCCGGTTCTCCCATCTCCCACTCTCCTTCCAGCTCCATATAACTTACATTGAAAGATGCCAGGGCCTCAGAGACACTCTTCTCGATGAACTCATCAGTGATTCTTCGGGAAGGATGTTCATTAAACACAGAATTCATTAGCGCAATCTTTGCAGCACTCCTCCGGGCCTCAGCTTTTGTGGGGCAAAACTAGGCAGGGGAGAATGAGTGAGAATATGTGTATTTGTGCATATGAGAGAGAGGAAGGAACAGTGGGAGGGAAACACTTCAGATAGAAAACACTTGGACACTCTTTGGATAAATCAGTTGTGTTCAACACACTCTCCAAGGTTTTTATGGTAAAGTGGTCGGGATGTTTGGAAACGTAATTTTGATTCAACATCCTGAAGTCATTAAGGTACTGGAGAGTGCTGTAGCTCATACCAAACTGAATGCAGAATGAGGAAGGCTGCTTAAGTCAGCATATAATCACTGGACATGAAAAATACCCCTGTTAAAACTGTCGACAGAATTAATTACTCAAAAGTCAGATTCTGGCCAGCTTAATAGAAATCTGTATCTTGTTCTGTGGACAGGCAAGGTTTTTTGGATTCCTCTAGATTAGAACCGAAGCTGTGTCTAGGCTGCTTCTACAGAGAAGGCCACTGGTCTCTATCAGAAGCACCCATCTTGGAATTTTGGACTTCATTTTTAGCTGTGAACAGGCATTTTCTCAATGTAGTGAGCCAAAGGAGCTATCCCTGAGAAGGGTTTGAGTCTGAGGAAGGAATTTGTAGACTTCTTTTCTTCCCCCCAGTGGAAACAAAGAGAAGAGGAGTAATTACGGGAAGGAAAGCTGACTTAAGAAGGAAAAAAATAAAAATTAATTCATGTTTTTATATTGTATCCAACATAGGTATCACAGAACAAGTCTGATCTGCAGAAGTCTCAAAATTATTCAATTTCAGATCTCTAGCCACCATAGTATTCCTTTATAATTCATCTTTATTGGCTATCTCAAAGGCCTCTTTGCCCTATGTCATTTATGAGTAATTAGAGGAAAGGAAGAAAATGATGTTGCAGTTTTTAAAAGTAGACCAAGGCTGGGCTTGGTGGCTCACATTTGTAATCCCAGCACTTTGGGAGTCCAAGGCAGGAGGATGGTTTGAGCCCAGGAATTCAAGACTAACCTGGGCAACATAGCAAGACCCCTGTCTCTACCAAAAAAAAAAAAATTAGCCAGGCATGGTGACACGTGCCTGTAGTCCCAGCTATTTAGGAGGCTGAGGCAGAAGGATCACTTGAGCCAGGAGTTCCAGGCTGCAATGAGTTATGATCACACCATTATACTCCAGCCTGGGTGACAGAGTGGGACTCTGTTTCTAAAAGAAAACTTAAAATAAAAAGTAGAACAGAGGTTGGGCATGGTGGCTCATGCCTGTAATCCCAGCACTTTGGGAGGCCAAGGCGGGAGGATCACTTGAGGCCAGGAGTTTGAGACCAGCCTGGCCAACATAGTGAAAGGCTGTCTCTACAAAAAATTTAAAAATGAGCTGGGCATGGTTGTGGTGCACACCTGTGGTCCCAGCTAATCAAGAGGTTGAGGTGGAAGGATCACTTGAGCCCAGGAGTCAAGGCTGCAGTGAGCTATGATTGTGCCACTACACTCCAGCCTGGGCAACAGAGCACAACTCTGTCTTAAAAAAACAATAATGGGTGCGGTGGCTCACGCCTGTAATCCCAGCACTTTGGGACGCTGAGGTGGGCGGATTACGAGGTCAGGAGTTCAAGACCAGCCTGGCCAAGATGGTGAAACCCCGTCTCTACTAAAAATACAAAAAAAAAAAAAAAATTAGCTGGGCATGGTGGCAGGTGCCTGTAATCTCAGCTACTTGGGAGGCTGAGGCAGAGAATTGCTTGAACCCAGGAGGCGGAGGTTGCAGTGAGCCGAGACCACGCCACTGCACTCCAGCCTGGGCGACAGAGTGAGACTGTCTCAAAAAAAAAAAAAACAATAAATAAGTAGACCAGGATGTGTTTAGTACTTAAACATCCCTACTATCAATAATTCCTAATTTCTATTAACTGACAGGCTCTCTGAGACAGCATATGAAGTTTGGTAAATAAGTCTGAAGTCTTCCCAATGCTTCAATTTGTCTGTTTCTATTTGTCTATTACTAGCCTGCTGGCCTGCTCTATAGTCCTGTTGCTTAAAAAGTCATCTGTGAAGAAAACCAGTGGGAGAAATTTCACCTGCCAAAGTGGATAAAGAGGTATAAACTCAAACCCATCTTGAATTTGAGCAGTTGTGGATTATGCCCTTGCTCAGTATATCAGACTACCAACACCCAGCCCATGTTCTGATCTAGCTTCAGTTATTGCACCCTGCCCCTGGCTGGGTGACTCACACCTGTAATCCCAGCACTTTGGGAGGCTGAGATGAAAGGATTGCTTGAACTCAGGAGTTTGCGACCAGCCTGGGAAACATGGCAAAACTCCATTTCTACCAAAAATACAAAAACTAGCCAGGCATGGTGGCACATGCCTGCGGTCCCAGCTATTCGGGAGGCTGAGGTAGGAGGATCACTTGAGCCCACGAAGTCAAGGCTGCAGTGAGCCATGATTGTGCCACTGTACTTCAGTCTGGGTGACAGAGAGAGGCCCTGTCTCAAGAAAAAAAAAAAAAAAAAGCTGGGCAAGGTGGCTCATACCTGTAATCCCAGCACTTTGGGAGGCTGAGGCAGGCAGATCACCTGAGGTCAGGAGTTCAAGATCAGCCTGGCCAACATGGTGAAATAATACAAAAATACAAAAATTAGCTGGGCGTGGTGGCAGGCGTCTATAATCCCAGCTACTTGGGAGGTGGAGGCAGGGAGAATTGCTTGAACCTGGGAGGTGGAGGTTACAGTGAGCCGAGATCACGCCACTGCACTCCAGCCCAGGTGACACAGCAAGACTCCGTCTCAAAAAAAAAAGTTTAGGCTAAAAGGCCAAGAAAGATAATTCTACCCTTTCCAAAAATAACAGAAATATAATTACTACAATGTTTCAGTTATGGGCATCCATCATAAAATGTTCAAGTCATTCAACAATGTAATGAGGTGGGAAGAAGGAGGAAAGATCAGCCAGGCCCGGTGGCTCACGCCTGTAATTCCAGCACTTTGGGAGGCCGAGGTGGACGGATTGCTTGAGGTCAGGAGTTCGAGACCAGCCTGGCCAACATGGTGAAACCCCGCCTCTACTAAAAATACAAAAAAGTAGTTGGGCGTGGTGGCAGGTGCCTGTACTCCCAGCTACTTGGGAGGCTGAGGCAGGGAGAATCACTTGAACCCGGGAGGCAGAGGTTGCAGTGAGCTGAGATCGGGCTGTTGTACTCCAGCCTGGGCAACAGAGCGAGACTCTATCTCCAAAAAAAAAAAAGAAGAAGGAAAGATCTTATTCTCTTAGAAGTGAAAGCATAGGCTGGGCGCGGTAGCTCACACCTGTAATCCCAGCACTTTGGGAGGCCAAGGTGGGCGGATCATGAGGTCAGGAGATTGAGACCATCCTGGCTAACATGGTGAAACCCTGTCTCTACTAAAAATACAAAAAAAAAAAAGAAAAAAGAAAAAAATTAGCCAGGCCTGGTGGCACGCACCTGTAGTCCTAGCTACTGGGGAGGCTGAGGCAGGAGAATCACTTGAACCCAGGAGGTGGAGGTTGCAGTGAGCCAGGATCATACCACTGCACTCCAGCCTGGGCAACAGGGTGAGACTCCATCTCAAAAAAACAAGTGGAAGCACAAACATTCATCATCTTGGGTATATATTTATTTCTCTGAAATGACTGAAGTTCTTTTCACTGCAACCTCCGGCTCCCAAGTTCAAGCAATTCTCCTGCCTCAGCCTCCTAAGTAGCTGGGATTACAGGCATGCGCCATCACGCCCAGCTAATTTTTGCATTTTTAGTAGGGACGGGGTTTCACCATGTTGGTCAGGCCGGTCTCAAACTCCTGACCCCGCGATCTGCCCGCCTCGGCCTCCCAAAGTGCTGGGATTACAGGTGTGAGCCATCGCACCAGGCCTGAAATGACTGCAGTTCTAAGGGAAAAAATTTCATCACCTGATGTGAAATGAAGTTTCCTTAGGACTGCTTTGTTTGAGGCATAAACTAAGCTGCAACGGCACTCATTCATGCAACAGACATATTTGCCTACTATCTGGTAGGCACTAAGATAGGTGGTAGGGATTTAACAAGAAGATAGACACAATCTTTGCCTCTATGGAACATAGTCCACTAGGAGAGACAATTATGATATGTTGTAATAAGTGATATGATAGGAGAAGTTCAAGGTGCTATGCAGACACACAGCAGGGGTTTTAACCTTGTCTAAGGGTTATACAAACCATATGGAAAGCAGAACAAAGGTATTTATTATTTTCTCTAAATTCCATTTCAGAGTTTTAAACTGACATTTCAGAAGGCTGCCTCCCTGTCTGCAATGTAAAAAATCCATCTTTGATAAGAATATTCATACTAGTCCATAATTTCTCACTACCTCATAATGGCAACCATTCTTTTCATCATCATAGGTATTTCACATAATTGTAGAATGTTAGTAGTAGAAAAGACTTCAGAAATCATCTAACCTATCTCCTTCATGTTATAGATGGGAAAAGTGAGGCCCAGAGATTTGCCCCATTGATATTCAGAGGAATGTGAATTTAGATCTCCTAACTCTTAGATGAGTACTGTTCCCACCATACACAGTCCCTCCGATTTGACCTCTTAGAGAACTCCAACATTGCTTTCTTTAGTAATTGCCTATGAAAAAGTACTGGAGGCAAGGAATATTGTTCTATATCCTCAACAAGAGATGGAAAATAGTTGGAATGCAATAACTGAAGCCAGATTGGAACATGGGTTGGATGATGGTAGTCGGATATACTGAGCAAGGGGATATTCATAACTGCTCAAATTCAAAATGGGTTTGAGTTCTTGAAAGGAAAGCATGATACTGAGGTTCTATTATGGTCAAATTGGCCTCAGATGCTTGCCAGAATAATTTTCCCAGAATTGCTTTAGGTCCTCAAATATATGATTTTAGGCAGTTTAATGGCCAAAGTGATGGAGAAAGCCGTTACTAACATCTAAGCATTTACCTTTGCTACTGCCACCTCACAACTCTTACCTGGAAACTCCCAAAGCAACTTCCCCCAGGCAGCGTGACATAGCAGACATAAGGAGGGCTGTTGGAGGGAACCATCTCATAAACCACTAGAGCCCCATTCTTTAAGTCAGCACCACGGGACTGCTTCATCTGCCAGAATTCCTGAAGTGCCTCCACCACATTCACTATAAAAGAGAAATAGTTAAGTTCAGCAATGAGAACACCTCCAAGTGGTGCTATACTTCAATACAGTATCTGTAACCTGTACCTACATTAAGAGTCAGCCCCTTAGCTCCCTACCTATTGCCTTTTAAAAGCATTTAAATTAATAAACCTAGACTGTGATTAAGTTAATTTGCCTAGAAAGACCAGCGTATGCCTGCCCTCCTCCACCACTTTTCTGGTTCACATTTTATTTTATTTAAATTTTTTTTTCACTCCCACCTCCAATCTGAATAGTTCACATTTTAACTTAGTCCTAGAATAACTTAAATATTGGAGGCAGAGTTCCCAATGTCAGCAGACCATTATCACTGCCTGATGAAATACAAGTAGATTACTCCACAATTGTTAGCTGGCCCAGGATGATAATAACCACCACAATAAGTGCTAACATGTATTGAACACATTGTATGTCAGGCATTTCTGTAACTGCTTTACGTGTTTAATCACAGCAACTTTATGAAGCAGATATTTTCACTATCCATATTTTACAGATGAGGGAAATGAGGTATAGAGAGGTTAAATAACTTGCCCAAGGTTATGCCAGGAGAAAGTAGCAGTTTGAGTATTCAAACTCAAGCAGTCTTGGTTCCAATGAGTATTCTTTTATGCAATACTGCTGGCTCAAGGAAATATAGCCCTAATAACCATTCTCGAGCCTGTGCTTCTAGTAAGCACATCCATTGCTAGATTCCTTTCCCAACCCAGAATACTATGTATATACTATGGGTGTGAGAAGCCAGGGCATGGAGGTGGGAGAGAACTCTTTTGAGGCTTTACCTGGGTATAAATGATTTTTGGAGGAACTATATGGTGAGATGCAAAGCAACGAAATGGGAAGCAATTGGAGGACTTTAAAAAGAAGCACTCCTCCATGGGCCGGTCTCTTATGCTCCTTCATATCTTGCTAGGTATGGCAAGATTGCAAAACCCTGACTGCTCTTTACTTGGGCTACTTTTCAGGACTGTGCTTGCAGCAAGAAATATTGAGGGATGAGGTACTATCTTCACTCAGATAAAGAACATGCTTGCTTCTGCTTGTTGTAAAATGGCAAGTTCCCCAAGCTGCAGGTTCTGTAAGTGTTCCTCTGTTGTGAAGCAACCCATGGCCTATGCAAGTATCTACCTGAGTCCTCTGCATTGGACTTGGGAGGAGGCAAGGAGAACTAATATAAACATGATGCTCATGCTACTTGCTGTGCTATGAATAATAAATTCCTTTGTCTCTAATCTCAAAGTCTCTTGACTTCTGCCAGCATCCATGAAACAGTAAATGGCTAATTTATTAGTTGTAAGTAGGCTAAAATCAAACTCCAGACCTGACATTGTATTCTAGAACACTTCCTCTCATCCCCTACGTTTTCCTTATGTAGCCTACAGTGTAAAGAGGGAAAGAGATATTAACCAGATCTCTAACAAATGTAAAATTGCACCTGTGATCAAGTTCTATAAAGGAGTGATAGATGTCGGAGTATCTGACCTAGTTAAGAAGGTCAAAGAAAGCTACCCTGAGGAGGCAATATCTAAGTTCAGGTATGACTAGGAATTCACTAGGCAAGAGGAGAGAGGACAGTGTTCTGAGTATAAAGAACAGCATGTTCAAAGGCTCGTGACAGCAGGGAACATGATGAATAAAGGGAATTAAGACCATGTGGCTATGGAAGAGTGAGTGAGGGGAAGTGTAATGCAAGATGAGGATGCAAGAGAAGGCAGGGATCAGACCAAGTAGGGCCTTTTAGGCCATGTTAGAGTATTGGCTTTATCCTAAAGCAATAGGAAGCAATGGGAGGACTTTAAAAAGAAGGAGGGATTCTTTTGAACTCAGCTCCAAGGAAAAATAATTAATTTAAAAAAAAAAAAGGGCCGGGCGCGGTGGCTCACGCCTGTAATCCCAGCACTTTGGGAGGCCGAGGCGGGCGGATCACAAGGTCAGGAGATCGAGACCACGGTGAAACCCCGTCTCTACTAAAAATACAAAAAATTAGCCGGGCGCGGTTGTGGGCGCCTGTAGTCCCAGCTACTCGGGAGGCTGAGGCAGGAGAATGGCGTGAACCCGGGAGGTGGAGCTTGCAGTGAGCCGAGATCGCGCCACTGCACTCCAGCCTGGGCTGGGCGACAGAACGAGACTCCGTCTCAAAAAAAAAAAAAAAAAGAGGGATGAGATCAGTTCGCTTTTAGAAAGGATCACATTGACTCTAGGGTTCCAAACATTTCAAATAGTTTTTGCTAAAGCCTCATAATAAAAAATTATCACAGGTGCTCTCCAATATCTTGCAACATATTGACCACTCTCCTTTTTTTTTTTTTTTTTGAGACAGGATCTCACTCTGTTGCCCAGGCTGGAGTGCAGTGGAGCAATCTCAGCTCACTGCAACCTCCACCTCCCAGGCCCAAGCAATCCTCCAACCTTAGCCTCCGAGTAGCTGGGACCACAGGTGTATGTCACCACACCTGGCTAATTTTTGTAATTTTTGTAGAAACAGGGTTTCACTGTATTGCCAAGGCTGGTCTCAAACTCCTGAGCTCAAGCGGCCTCCTAAAGAGCTCCTCCTCCACCTCAGCCTCCCAAAGTGCTGGGATTACAGGCGTGAGCCACCACGCCTGGCCTCTCCTCTCCTACTCTTAATCGCAACAAAGGCTCATTCGTTCTTTCATATTTCCTTAGTTCAGATCTGCCAAGAAGACACCAAGATGGGATAGGCAATTCCAAGAGACTTATTGGGGAGGAAGTAGGAGAAGACAGGGAGAGCCTTCTGAGCACAGCAAAGATCTGATGACCGTGGAAGAGAGGCAAAGAAGGAGGTCTAGATATGATAGTTTCAGACTGTAGTACAGTTGTTGTTGTCGTTGTTGTTGTTTTGTTTTTTTTTTAGACAGAGCCTCACTCTGTCGGCCAGGCGGGAGTGCAGTGATACAATCTCGGCTCACTGCAAGCTCTGCTTCCCGGGTTCACGCCATTCTCCTGCCTCAGTCTCCCAAGTAGCTGGGACTACAGGCACCCGCCACCACACCCGGCTAATTTTTTGTATTTTTAGTAGAGACGGGGTTTCACCGTGTTAGCCAGGATGGTCTCAACCTCCTGACCTCGTGACCTCGTGATCCACCCGCCTCGGCCTCCCAAAGTGCTGGGATTACAGGCGTGAGTCACCGCACCCGGCTATAGTACAGTTTTAAGAAAGATTTGGCTAAGCCAGTGAGAAGTCCTCATCGCAAAAGAATCCCGTATCTCACCAGAATCTGCCTGTGTTAATACCCCTGATGTGCTCGGTCATTGGTTGGGAGCAGCCTACAGGAAGCGTGGTCCCTTCAAATGTGGTTATAGATGCAAATGTGCAACTTTGGGGTGCAAATGTGATTATGGATGACCCAGGGTGGGCAGTGGCTGAGGCTGTTAGTTATGCTCCCTGCAGCAGGCAATCTGAACTGCACATTTTCATGGCTGTCATACACACATTAGCTAAAGTTTGAGCATTTAATAGGTACATGGCATTATTCTAAGCACTGGGCATGAAAAGAATAACACACAGTTCCTGCAAGCAAAGAATTTATTTTATATTTGAGTTGGAGTCTCACTCTGTTGCCCAGGCTGGAGTGCAGTGGTGCGATCTCGGCTCACTGCAACCTCTACCTCCCAGGTTCCAGCAATTCTTCTGTCTCAGCCTCTTGAGTAGCTGGGATTACAGGCACATGCCGCCATGCCTGGCTAATTTTCGTATTTTTTAGTAGAGACAGGGTTTCACCATATTGGTCAGGCTGGTCTCAAACTCCTGACCTTAGGTGATACACCTGCCTCAGCCTCCCAAAGTGCCGGGATTACAGGCGTGAGCCACCGCGCCCAGCAAGCGAGGAATTTAAAATCAGTGGCCAATAATAAATTGTCTCGCCTGCTCTGTGACTGAAACAAACACCCATGTACTAGCCTGAGTTTGAGAAGCAGCATAAACTCTTTTTAATAACCTACATTTAACTGACTTTTAAGAATGCTCATTCTTCTATTAAAAGACAGCATGAGGGCACATCATTAGGACCTCCTGAGGCTCTGTCATGGGCAAAAAAATTAAAATTAAAATTAAAAATTAAAAAAAGATCCAGCATGAAAAGAAAACTCTCTTTCCCTCCATTGGTTTTGGCAGGGCTCTTCAAAGGTCAATACTGACCAGAAAGCTCAGCCATCTTTGTTCTCTCCATGAGATCTTTTCAGCTCCAGTTCCCTCTTTGAGACAGTTTAGCACAATGCACTGGGTGACAGCTCTCCTGACATGCACACAACAGGGAGAATACTGGAATAAAGAGGAAGAGGAGGAGACCACCATAATTGGGAAGGTCCTATTAAAAAGCATATGTTCAGTCTCTATCCAGTTAAACATTTCTTCGCACAGACCAGAGAACCATTTTTTTTTTTTTTTTTTTTTTTTTTGAGACGGAGTCTCGCTGTGTCTCCCAGGCTGGAGTGCAGTGGCGTGATCTCGGCTCACTGCAAGCTCCGCCTCCCGGGTTCACGCCATTCTCCCGCCTCAGCCTCCCAAGTAGCTGAGACTACAGGCGCCCGCCACCTCGCCCGGCTAATTTTTTGTATTTTTAGTAGAGACGGGGTTTCACCATGTTAGCCAGGATAGTCTCGATCTCCTGACCTCGTGATCCACCCGCCTCGGCCTCCCAAAGTGCTGGGATTACAGGCTTAAGCCACCGCGCCCGGCACAGAGAACCATTTTTTAATGATTACTCAAAGCCAAGGGGCATGGGGAGTCTTGATTTTAGAAATGTGAGTATGAAATGATAATTGGGCAAAGTGGTCAAGAAAAAAGCAACTAATTGTGATCCGCATTTGAAAATGCTTCTAGACTTATTCATGTTTAGAACTGGAAGGAACTTTAGAGATCATCTAGTCCAACACTGGCTAAGAAAGAACAGAAGACTTGTTAGAGGTCACATGGCTATGGCAGAGTTGGGACATAAATCTAGA